TTGTAGGGATTTATATAGGGTCATATCCCTTCGGATTTTATATTTACATGCATATGCACAGCATCTTCGGCTAAATCAGTTTGTGGTATGATGTACTGTATATTGTATCACATGAGATCTCCACCAGTTCCTCGATAGTTCTAGGAGAGTTCTAGGAGCTGGCGAGTTTCTATAAGTCATGAGATGATCGGCCAATCAGATGAGGCGCAGTATCTAAGCCACCATTAAACGAGTTTCGATAAATCACGAGATGGTCGGCCAATCAGATTTCGTCTCCCTGATCTAGCTAAGCCACCGATTAATCATTATATTGATCAAAGTTGCAATCACTCGATAAAACATTCACTCTTCTCATGTAAAAAATCCTCTATTATTCCTCTGTTTGGTGCTTGATTAACACTAAGGATGACTGAAACTGCAAATCAGTTACTAAGTCGCGCCGTCCCTGTTTGCACATGGCAGACTCCAGGCTCAACTGCTTCAACTCATCCAGCTAATCCCCTCTTTCCAGAAGTCGCGAGAGAATGGCGTTTCTTCTCCCGAAGTGTTAATTCGTACCGTAATATTCCGGGAGGACAATTTCAAGTATTTCCAACTGATGCACAAGACCTATGTGTAGAAAGAGATTCAACACTTCGTTTTTTTACTAATATTTTATGGCCTATTAAAACACTGCTAGGAGGAGCAGAATTTCATACGAGACGTACTGAAGTATTGGGTGCCCCCGATTACATTTTATGCACTAATAACCCTACAACGGCCAAGATGCCTGTGGAGGTGCAAACTCGTCACAATTTGAGGTTAGGTGATCATAACCTCTGGGAAGTTTATCGATATGCCGACCGGAATCAAATAGAGGATGAAAATTTTCAATTTAAAAAAAGAATTTTATCTCAGGTGTTTGGCCAAATGGCTTGCAATGGCCTTCACTTCGGCATTTTGACAAACTATTCTGATACATACTTTCTCAAACGACTGGAAAATGAACCAACCAACCTATATGTTTCTCGTGTTGTTCATCCTGATAGTACCAATCCGACTTTACGCGAGTGCGTTTACTACATCTGCCAGCAAGCTATTAATGACAATGTTGGAAATAGATTGGATCCTGTATCGGATGACGATGTTACTTCCCGTGAAGATAGCGATGGAGATGACGATGACGGGGATGATCCTGATGATGGCTCTGATGATGATTATGTTCCTCCTAGTAATGATGATTCTTATAATTCAAAGAAGAGGAAGAGTTCTTCGGATCTCGGTAGCAGGAAGAGAGTGATCGCATCATCTTCCAAAAGAATCACTAGAATAGGTGAATACATAGGTGGCGGAACCTTTGGGAAAGTTTTTTCAGGTTATTATGATGGTCAACTCGTGGCATGGAAGACTTGTGATGCGTATAAAGAGCAAGAAGCGACAAAAATGCTAAAACATGAGGCTCATGTTTATTCTATTTTGAAAGAATGTCAAGGTACGATTTTTTTTCATTCATAATGTTTTTAGATATTATTAACTTGTCTATTGCAATAATATTAGGTCGTGCTATTCCACATTTGTTCCATCAAGGTTATATTTATGACGGATATCTTTTTGCGTTAGTATTACAATTAATTGAGGACGCCCATCACGTTGATCCGGAAAGACTCACTAAAGAGGATAAAACATCAATAGTAAACCAGCTCAAGTCAATACATAATTGTGGCGTCCTACACAATGATATCTCCAAGCAAAATGTTTTATATGAACCAAAGAGTCGCCATTATTTTTTCATTGATTTTGGCTTGAGTGAGATCGTGGACAACGAGTCGGCAAAATTACGCAAGGAAGAAAGAAGATTGAAAAGATTTTTACAACTTTAAATATCTGGATATACAGTGTTCATGTGAAATTAAACCAGTTCGTGGGCACTACAATTAGGAATTAATTAGAATTATCCTTTATCAATAATAATGTATTATTACACTAGATGAACCATAAATAGATTTTTATTGCATGCTACAACGTATATATAACTTTTCATAAAAATGTAATAAATCATGAAATAAATAATATAGTTGCGCAACTTAATTTTTTAATACATATCGATATTAACAAATATAATAGGCAAAATTTTATTAAATAATAAAGTAAGGTAGCAAGAGAAACATATAATGCTATCAAAGAAGGCCAGCATCATGTTGATCTCAGTATACTTCTACAACTAATTTATTTCTGATTGGCAGATCGCCTATGATTTAAAGTGCTAGCAAAGTGCCCAGATTTGTCTTATTACTTCACACACCCACTACACTGTTAAAACTAAGATAAGCCCCCGATGTGGACGAATTTTATTAATTGCTAAAATGCTAAAACATCGCGGATGTGCGCAGTAGTCACGTGACAGCGTGAATAATATTCACGGAATCACGTGATAGATAATTACATTTTTCAAGTTGTGGAGAAACAGTCTATAATACTTTGGATTTGGGTGCTAGATAGGTTTGAGATAGCATCGGCACTAAATGATTTTACCCGTTTGATCTTGTTTGTTCCTATCCCTACAAACACCTTGTATATATTCCTTGCCTTCTGGGTTTTCTTACGCAAATTTGCTTCTGTAACACCTGGTAGATGCAAAGCAACTTCGCGGTATGCTTGACTTCTAGCTATTGGATCGGTAACTGATGAATCTTGAGTTCTAATATCCCTGGCCCTATTTTCGAATCCTTCAGCATATTTATACCAACACAAAATTTCATCTTGATTTGCCTTTGTAACACGCAATCCTGCACGAGTTGCCTTTTGATATAATCGGGCTAAGCTTTGTGATACAGATCCATCAGCATCCTCCTCTTTATCAACATTTTCGGCTTTCTCTCCCTTGGCAGGCGTAGATAATTCTTGCAACAGGGCCTGAAATTTTTCTTGTTCACGAGTGATCCTTGGAGAGGTCCGTCTTCTTGATGAATTTCTTCTTGATTGAGACTCACTTTCTTGCACGTTGGTGTCATCCCCGCTATTTGCATTAGATTGATTCTCCAAGTTATCCTGTGTATTAGTAGCGCGGATTTCCTCATTAGAATTGGCTTGATTCTCCGGAGTTCTTGAGATATAAAAGGTGAGAGTGAAAACTGTTATTGCATAAATATATGCGAGAATGTCCAGAGGTGTTATGCACTGCTTACCTATTATCAACAGAATTAGACCGGTTATCATCGTCATCGTCATCGTCATCCTCAATCATGATTGGGCTTGTCGCCTGATCCTGCATAGTGACTTGCTTTGATTGACCTCCCTGCCCAGCACGAGAGCCACCTTCTACCAATCCTAGTGAAGCCATGAGATCCTCATCACCCTGTCCAGTGTCAGTTTGTTTTTTCTGAAGATGATATTTTCCAGAGGCGAGTACTGCTTCTTCTCTAGTCAGCTCAATGATTACATTACACGAAGGGCATGTAAGAGGTGGATCGGTTTCTGCTTGCATAATATACTTCTCAAGACATAGGCGGTGGAAAAGATGTTCGCAATCCAACACAACAAACGATTGAAATCGGAATTTTAGGATCACTCTTTGGCAGATACTGCACGGATTGAGTTTCGGAATTCTGCTGGGGATAGTTGAAATCTCTTGATTTCGAAGATAATTTAATGCAAGTACTTCGAGTTGGGAAGGCTCAGAAGTATCTGTTTGAATTTCAGAAGTGCTGGTCGAAGGTTCACTGGCTATAGTGGCGCTCGAAGGTTCACTAGCCATAGGGATGAATTGTAAAGAGTGAAGTGCGAAGTGTGAAGTAATTTCCCCATGTTCACTCCTACTTATATTACTTTCATCTCCGATCAAAGATTTTCAGGGCGATAAGTTAACACTTTTTTTGTTTCACATCCTCTATCTTGTTCCGCAAATATAGTAAGTATATTGTCTTTTTTTCGAATAATTATGAAAAAAAAAGGGCTTAATATTAAGTTCGAAATTACTGAAATATCAATCTTGCAAGCAACGCACCTATCTTGTTTTCCATACACTAAGGATCCGCCGTGATCGTTGCAAAACATAAATGTCCCTGGATTTTCGCTGGCAATCTTATTGTTCAATAATTAGCCGATCCTGAGTTACAAATTTACCCTGTATTAGAATGCATTAGCTTGGCAATCAAAAAATAGCATATATGCCCCCTTGATCTGTTGATCTGCGGGAGATAGTCTATCATTTTAGCTTACACCGATAACATATCTGATAGGTTTTCTTTGATCGAAGGAGCCGGGATGACTTCATGATTAACATAGATATCCCCCATCCCCATATGCGAAATAATGATTGCTGGAAAAAATATCCATACCCGAATATTGTTTTATTGATATGATAATAGTGTGGCCGGAGACATGACATGCAAAAATAAATGCCTATATATTCGAATACTGTTTATTGATAGTATCAAGTCGAAAAAATAATGTGAATATATATGCCAATCTTACGTCGCACAGCCCCTATTCTTCGTCTCCGGTATCTTCTGCGCATTTGCCTTAGCGCCTCTGGCCAGGTGATCGGTCTAAGCCACCACATGATTCGGAAAAAAAGAAATAGATAATCCAGCAATTCAGTCTATGCGAATATGTGATTTCGCTTGATAATTCTCCTAGGCGGTTACCGGTGAGATAATAGGGCTCATCATTGGGGAGGTTTTTCTTTCGTATCCTCCATCACGACAGTAATAACCTCTATCACGTTCACCATATTCATTATATCCACCATATCCATCATCATCCGAATCGTCTGGCATCCATTCAGTCCTTTCTTTCACCGGCTGGGGTGTGGAATCATCTTCCTTATCAAAATACTCACAATCCTTCGCACAATCTTCCAAGATCATTTTGTAGTAATCGTCCACATCTTCGAGCGAATTGTTTGGGCTGACTTCTTTGGAATCATCAGAAGAATTAGAGTCATGGGCTAATAGAATAGGTGATGTTGGAATGCTTACCTCAGCTGAAACCAAGGGATTCGCTCGCACCTCCGACGTATCAGTTTGACTGGAAGAATCATCGTTAATAAAATTGTCCTGATCCTCACTGAAATCCGTACTGGGCTTATTTGAGAAATGATCCATAATCTTTTGGATTTCATCATTAGTAAACTTTGATATTTCATTCGCACTATACGACTTGATATACTGAATTTTATCTAATCCTATTTTTTCGAGAAGTTTGTAGATCTTCTCAGCTCTCTGAGTTTTTTTGCGCAAACCATCTCTTGTTATGTCTGGGAGTGGCACCCCTGTATCTTGAGATCTTTTCTTACGAAGGATATTAACTTGCTTCACGACTTCATCGTATATTAGACCTCTTGCCTTCTTTTCGCCAATTTTATTTTTATCACACAAGGCCTCCAACTGAAATACGAAATTTCTTCCATAGTGGTACCAGCATAATATTTCTTCTTGATTTGCTTCCAATCTATGCTCTTCTGCAATAAGCGCTTTATCACATAACTGGGCCAAATGCTGAGATATCTCTATCATACTAATCCCATGAAATTAGTGATTGGAATCGAATATACTCGAATATACTCGTATATTCGTTTAATTTTAAAAAATGTATTCGAATAATATTCG